ATGAAACCCATCACAAGACCTTAACCTGATGTGACCTTGACCTGATGTGACCTCACATCACAAGATCTGCTGACCACACTAAGCCCTGATAAACAGGAGACATTGACACTGACATCCCCTAAATTCTACGGAAGATGTTACCTAGCCTGGTAATGAAACGTTCAGAAACCGAGTCATAGAAACCAACTTGGAGAACGAACCTCCACCCTCATCTTATACCCAAACTACAGATGTTCACCACTATTGTGTACAAAGTTTTTGAACAGCTCCAAATATCCACTGCAGATCCCAAAGAAGAGATTCGACCAACCCTACTAATCATGAAGGAGTAGAATTGCTAGGAAGATACATTAAAATGCTATATTGCACTCCATGAATCAATGGAAAGGTACCCTCACTGCTGATGCCTGTGCTCTATCTATCAGGAGCAAAGCCACAAGTGGCACTGTTTTTAGCATTTTAATGAAGGATAGCAATAGCATTTAGACTTATATACTGCTTTACAGTGCTTTACAGCCCTCTCTAAACTGTTTACCGCTTAGAGACCCCAACAATCTGGGTCCTCATTTTACCCACCTCGGAAGGATGGAAGGCTGAGTCAACCTTGAGCCTGGTGAGATTCGCTCTGCCAAATTGCAGGCAGCTGGCAATCAACAGAAGTAGCCTGCAGTACTGCATTGTAACCACTGTGCCACATGGGTCATAGATGGATGATAGATAGATAGATAGATAGATAGATAGATAGATAGATAGATAGATAGATAGATAGATAGAGACAGAGAGAGAGAGAGAGAGAGAGGCAGAGGCAGAGAGACAGACAGGGAGAAAGAGAGACAGAGACAGAGACACTGTGGCTCATGTGGATAAGTGAAGAAAGCAATATTTCATATCTCTTACCGCAAAGCCCAGAGAACAAGCAAGAGTTTGCAAAGAACAAGCAACAGGTCCTGTCCTTAAAAGGTGATGGATGAGGATGGACAAGGCTTAAAATGGCTAGTTTGGTCACTTTCCAAGTTGCTCATCAGTTATCGTTGTGGAGAGGTTCTGTGTCTCTTACCTGTACAATTTGGGCTATATTTCTGCAGAGCTGTAGCATTCTTCTGAAATAAATTAAATCAGTATCCAAAAACTAGCCTGGTGGCATCTCACAATGTCTAGAAGAGGATGAAGCAGAAAAGAGTGGTCAACAATGACTATTACAAGAGTATGGCAGTACTGAGAGCTGGTGCCTGAGGCCGTAACACCTGGAAGTAACTCATGGAGTAGATAAAATAGCATTGCTTTCGCCACTAAAGTAATAGAAACAGTAAGAAGTAGAACCATATGATATCCTTCATCAGCAGAAGCAAAGGAAATGTAATAATGGATTCAGTGGTAATAGGATCAGGAATACACAGCTGACAGAACTGGTCCAAGAGAGTATTATGCTTATTTCTTTTAACACCAGTCTAGTACTTTTTCAAAAGTGCCAAACCCAAATATATAAGTCAGGGACCTTCAAACTTGGCAGCTTTAACACTTGTGGACTTCAACTCCCAGAATTCCTCCTCCAGTCATGTTAGCTCAGGAATTGTGGGACTTGAAGTCCACAAGTCTTAAACTTGCCAAGTTCGAAGAGTTGTGAAAGGTCTGACTAACTCTTAAGACAGCAGGTGCCTCTTTGTAACTTGGTTATCTCTCAGCCAAGCCAAAATGGTCAAGGAAGGACAGTTTCCAGAAGTGGTTGGAAGGTGGGGGGAAGAGGGGGTACCCACCAAGCCTAACGTGACTTTAAAGCAGCTGGACTAGACCCTAAATTCTGACTGCGTCAGCATCCACATGCAATTTTCCACAGCAAAAAAAATCCTATCGGGTAAAGAATAAAAACCCTATCTTAATACTGAAATAGATGGCTTTATGCTCCCTCCACAGTGGGCTGAGCATAAAATCAAGGCAACCGAAGTCCGCAACAGAAAAATATAACAGTTATGGGGGGCCTATTTGTATAGTAGTTGGGGGAAGTGAAGAACAGCCCCATACAAGGAATAGAAGCAGGACAAAAGGTGCCAAAGAAGTGATGGATTTATGTGGCAGGTTCCTCATTCTCAGTGAGGCAAGAAGTAGCAGCACACGCTGACCGCATGTGTATTTGCCTCGGGTGTGTTTGCTTTCTTTCCCGCAAACTGTCTTACAACTCAGAAGTGAGTCAGCAGTAGCTATTTGGCTCAGATGTTGGGAAAGATCCACAGTTGCTCAAATTGTTGGTATATCAAGGCGGCTTTCAGCTCTCCAGGTTCAAAGATGAAAAATGTCATCGAAGCTGGAGAGCTTAAAGCTCCCTGGATATCACCTTCTGATCCCACAAGTGTGAGGAGCTGGTTCCGATGACCTGACCTCTGCTTGTGTGTAAAGTATTTCACCATTTCTCAGAGACTCTTGACTCTGGGGGTTGGGATTATTATATGTGAAAGAACTGCAATTCTTTGTTTTGCTTTTTCGGTTATAAGGAATGTGGCTAAACTTCAACAGGTAGGAAGAATGACACATTTGCTTGATACTCTTTACAATCAAACCATGGGGCTGCTCTGGCTGAAAAGATTACAGAAAGGAAATCCCCTTCCCTCAAAGAAGATTCACAAAATCCTGGGCTTGCATAGACCAGTTTAGGGTTTCTGGGCAACTCCCTCAAGCTATGTTTTAAAAAGCAGCTGGATTTTCAGGCACTAACAAACATTTTCCCCAAATCAAACCACAATCGACTTGCATCTCTGACTTGTCCTTGAGCAGTGATTTAAAATTTGCTAAGTAACCTAGGGATGGATCTCTAAGCACCAATTATCAGCTAAAATACCCAGAGCAACTCAAACCTCAGCAGGAAAAAGAATTCTAGAGAGATCAACATTTTGCTGTACTTTCTTACAAGTTACAAAGTTTGTTTTGTAACACTTTACAGGCAAACTGTTAGATCTGAGGTGGATCGGGTCGAAGGAGACACGAGACCATTCTAGTGAGTTCAGCTCTTTATTTAGAATAGGAATAGTCTGGAGAATCCAAGCCGCGGCAGCCCTTCATATAGGGCTGGCTCGCGGCTCGGCGGCCAATGGCAGCGCTTTGAATCTCCCGCGATCGGCACAGCCAATCGCGGTAGATTCTCAGCGCTCCAATCACGGCCGGGGTTTTGACCAATCAGGTCGCTGTCCGTCTGGACCAATCAGTTGCGAGGGTTTGGAGTATGCTAATACAGCACACTAACCACAAATCCGCTACAGTAAAAAAAAATTGCACTTCGGCAGTTGTCAGTATAAATATATATAAAACATGGTTTTGGGAAACAGCAAAGAGGGTTATTTTAAAGACAGGAAAACCAGGAAGTACAGGTGGTGATAATGATTTAAGCATTGCTGAAAAGCAAAACCATGCAATTTGAAGTTCCTCCGTTCTGGTTCAGAAGGTTGGAAGATAGCCAATGTAAAACCAATTGTAAAAAGAACCAAGAAAAATTGGGGATGGGCTAGTCAGTTTAAGGTGGGTCCCAGGTAAATTCATTGAAGTGGCAATCAAAGACAAAAAAAAAAAAAAGAATAAAGTACATAGAGACAAACTATGCAAATCAACACGTTTCACACCACGGCAGTAGATCATTTGCACACGGACCTAAGTACAGGGGTGGAATTCTATAGGTTCGCACCTATTCACTAGAATCGGTTGTTAACATTCTAAGCAGTTCGGAGAACCGGTTGTTAGAAGAAATTACTGGCCTAATCCTGTAAGGAAGGCAGGAAGGAAACATTCTGGTGTTGCTGCCTCTCCGTTAACCCTTATTACATTCTTGGCAGGACTAGTCTTCCTGTCTCAGGAACATCTCTGGAGTTTTTTTGCCCTCGTTTGCTGGTACTTTGCTTGTGTGGAGTGACCATTCAAAGTTACAATGGCACTGAAAAAAGTGACTTATAACCGTTTTTCACACTTACATCCCCACAGTCACGAGAGGCCAGGTGAGGAGATGCGTGCCTCGATGTGAGTGATGTTGAGTTCGCCACGCCCAGCCAGTCACATGACCACCAAGCCACGCCCACCAACTAAGCCACAGCCACAGAACCGGTTGTTAAAAAAATTGAATCCCACCCCTGCCTAAGTACTAACAATCTTTATTACTTTTCCCCTCAAAGCTACATTCCGTTTATATTACCTTCTACAAACTTGGTTAATTTGAATGATTTTTTAAAGGGCAGGACAATAAAGGACTCCATTTGTTGTTGCCATCTGGATGTGGGGGAATCTGCTTTGAGCTACAGCGGCTGTGTAATGGATTTATTAACTATCCATTGCTCCTTTGTCATACATTGATGGATGTTAATTTGATCCTGAATGCAATTATATATGCTCCCTAATGGATTATTTTCTTTCTAGAAAGGGCAGGTGCTTCAGTGTTACCTCCTGAATGGGGTTAGTATTATTAAGGAAAATAATATGATATTATTTTAATATTAGCCATATTTTAATATTTATTAATAAATATTTAATATTTATTAAAATATTTATTAAATATGAAAGAAATGTTTTAACATATTTCTTTCAAATGAAAGAAATATTTTAATATATTTCTCTCATATATTCAATATATTCCTTTAATATTAGTTTGATTCACCCAATGTCCAGTATTGCTTTCTCTCAATCCCCCTGCTAGAACAAAGTCAAGAAACACAGAACGCTCATTGTATTAGGGTTTGAAAAACGCCGCCAGGCAATGGCTGAAGAAGAGAAGCTGCTTTTGAAGCATCTTCAAGAGGAAGAGTTCGGGACACTGAAGAAGCTGGAGAGGAATTCAGACTTCCTTCTTGAGCAGTGTGCTGGTCTGCAAAACCTCATCACAGAGATGGAACATAAATGCCAAGAACCTGCAGCCATCTTGCTCAAGGTGAGGTCCTTCAGGATAAGCCAGCTGAAAGGAGTAAGAGAAAGCAATGGCTACATGCAACAAATTTGCCATGGCCTCTTGCTGGAGAGGACAGCCCAATGGCTCAGTGGTTAAGATGCTGGGTTTGTTGGCTGGAACAGCCTGCCGACAAGCATTGCACAATGGGGTGAGCATCTGTCTTCGCCTAGCTCCTGCCCACCTAGCAGTTTGAAAGCATGTAAATGTGAATAAATGTGTGTAAATGTGAGTAGATAAATAGGTACTACTTCGGTGGGGAGGAAACAGCATACAGTAAACAGCATAGCAGTAAAATTGGCAGGCACTCCTTGCTAAAGAGCTGAATAATTTCTTGTAACTTTCTTTTCATGTTGTTTTGTTATGTTTCTTGTAGATATTAATCACCAAATTGTTCCAGAACAGGTGCTGCAAAAGGATAGAATGTAGAATTAACAGAAGGCAACATTGGTTCATTGCCATTTCTAGAATTGTGACTTTGGAAGTTGAGGTAGCATACAAAGTGATTGATAAGCTATGAATTGCATATATCCTAGATAGAATATCCAAGCCCTGTGTTAAATCCTATGTTGTCTGAGGGATAACTTCTGATGTTGTATTTTAAGAAAATGGCAAAGCTGCTGAAAGCATCATTCCTCCCCTCGCCCAACTTTTTAACTGGACTTTGTTCCTTAGAACCTTGAGGACTAGAAACAAAATATCTACCCTCCCCCTCACACACAAAAAGACAACAAATTGTATAATGTTTGATTGAGCAGCGTTAACAATAGGATTCTTTATAAGTTCTTTCAGCAACATTTAAAAAAAATACTGAAGCATTTACCATATTTTTTTTGTTTCTTCTTCTAGGATGTGAAAAGGACCTTGACCAGGTCAGTCCACTAAATTTAGACAGTTATTTGCAGACTTAATTTTGTAATAAATCCTGATTGAAGTTTGCTTCCAGATAAAGGCTAGGTAGTCTTCAGCTTAGGACTACAATGGGCCCCACATTTCTGTTGCTAAGCAAGGCAGTTGTTAAGTGAGTTGTGACCAATTTTGCAGCCTTTCTTTGTGACGGTGAAGTGAATTACTGCCGTTGTTAAGTGAATCTGGCTTTCCCCATTGACTTTCCTTATTGGAAGCCAGCTGGGAAGGTCACAAATGGCAATCACCATGATCCTGGCATGCTGCAACTGTATAAATAAATACATGCTGGTTGCCAAGGGCCTAAATTTTTGATCACACGACCACAGAGATGCTGCAAAAGTCATAAGTACGAGGAGTCGCTTTTTTTCAGGGCGACTATAAGCTTGAACAATCACTAAACAAATTCTTGTATGGCAAGAACTACCTGCAGTCACTTTCGTTGTCCTTAGACTTAAAAAAAAAAAGATGCTTTTAATGGGATAATTGAGGATCCAGATTGTTGGGGGCAATAGGCTGACTCCATAAACAGCTGTAAAAGCATTGTGAAGTGGTATAGAAGTAATCTAAATGCTATTGCTATTTCTCCCCAGGAGTGAAGGGCTGACCTTGAAAGAACCACAGCCGATTTTGTTGGAATTGCAAGACTCCTATGACGTTCCTGGGTTGATGGAGTCATTGCAAAGATACAATGGTAATTGAGAGGTGCTTATGTCATGCTGGGCTTAATGTATTGGATGTGTTCAAGTTCTCACTTGGATCTCAGGGATTTGGACAGGTTTCCCTCCTAGGATCACAAGATCATCGAGGGTGGGGAGGGGCAAATTAAGAGTCTGGCCCAAAGCTTGACAGTGGTATAGCTTCCTAAATTATAGAGGCGTCAAACTTGATTTCATTGAGGGTTGCATCAGGATTGTGTTTGACCTCGGAGGGCCAGGGGGCAGAGGTGGTATTCAGCAGGTTCTGAACAGTTCTGGAGAACCTGTAGCGGAAATTTTGACTAGTTTGGAGAACCGGCAAATACCGTGTTTCTCACAAAATAAGGCCGAGCCTTATTTTTTTTTTTTTGACCCCTGAAAAAAACGGCAAGGCCGTCTTTTTGGGGGTGACTTAATTCCCCTCCCTTGCATCCTTGGGTGGGCGGGCAGAGACAGCTTGGATGTTGACCTCGGCGTTGGTGGGGCACTTCGTATCGGGAGACCTTCCGCCACCGTTGCTTACCCTTCTCCCTTGCTGCCGCGGCGTTTAGAGCAACGCTGTGGCGTTTGGCGCAGCCACGTGCAGCCAGCCAGGGCTCCTCCCTGCAACCAGAGCCCGGCGGAGACACCCGGCTTCAGGCGCTCCTGTCGCCGCCTTCCCTTTGCCTTCGAAGGAAAAGCCAATTATTTTAAAAACGATGCCCTACTACAAAAAAGACTCCCCTGCCCGAGAGGGCAGCCCAACCCCACATGGGGAGGTGAATCTCCCGGGGCCGCAGCGTAGGATCGGCCCACCTTGGGAGAAGCACCCAGCCGCCATCCCTGCCTGGCGCCGGGCAGAGCGTGAAGAGCTTCGCCTGGGGCGCCCAGCGCAACTGACAGGCGGGGCCTCCTTACCAGCAGCAGAGCTCTCACCAAGGCAGCGAGTGTCTCCCCGCCAGACCCTCCTCTCATCCCGCCAGGGCCGCGCCAGAGCCGTGTGGGCTGGGCAGAGGCAGGAAAGTGAGCCGTGGGTGCGTGCCCGCCTGCCAAGCAAAAGAGCTGGGCCGACCTGAGCTTGGCTTCCTTCCCAAGTCCCTCCAGCGCGAACCCAAAGAGGCCACCGGGAGAGGCTGCCCGAGGCAGTGATAGCACCCACCCATCTGCAGACAGGGAGGCGAGGTGATGGCAGCACTGCTTCCCTGGCCAGCGGAGAGAACCCGAAGCTGCCCGTCCTTTCCACCCCTCGCCCATCCCATCCCTGTCCCCACGCATCTCCAATGCGCTGGCAGCTCCAAACGCTGCAGCGGAACGGGCATCAGGCAGAGGTGCTGACTCGGCGGGGCTCAGCTCGCAGGAGGACATGGCGCAGGCCGTTGCCTTGCCTCCCTGTCCACGGACAGGTGGGCGCTATCACTGCCTCGGGCAGCCTCTCCCGGTGGCCCCTTCAGGTTCGGGCTGGAGGGACTTGGGAAGGAAGCCAAGCTCGGGTAAGCCCGGCTCTTTCGCTTGGCAGGCAGATCCTCACCCATGGCTCACTTTCCCGGCTCTGCCCAGCCCGCACGGCTCTGGCGCGGCCCTGACGGGATGAGCAGAGGGTCCAGCGGGGAGGCGCTCGCTGCCTTGGTGAGAGCTCCACCGCCGGGCAGGAGGACCCGCCTGTCAGTTGCACTGGGCGCTCCAGGCGAAACTCTTCGCACTCTGCCAGGCACCAGGCAGGGATGGTGGCTGGGTGCTTCTCCCGGGGTGGGCCAATCCTGCACTGCGGCCCCGGGAGATTCGTCTCCCCATGTGGGGTTGGGCTGCCCTCTCGGGCAGGGGAGGCTTTGTCGTACCGGTAGTAGGGTGTCGTTTTTAAAAGAATTGGCTTTGCCTTCAAAGGCGAAGGGAAGGCGGCGACAGGAGCGCCTGAAGCCGGGTGTCTCCGCCGGGCTCCGTTTGCAGGGAGGAGCCTTGGCTGGCTGTGCGTGGCTGCGCCAAATGCCACGGCGTTGCTCTAAACGCCACGGCAGCAAGGGAGAAGGGAAAGCAATGGTGGAGGAAGGTCTCCTGATACGAAGTGCCCCATCAATGCCAAAGTCAACGCAGGCAGCACCATATCCGGGTATGCAACAAAAGTACTTCCTAACAGCAAGCCCCCCCGCCATTCCTCCCCATTTCGCATGTTTAATATAGGCCTTAATTTGGGGGGAGGGGCTTCATTTGATTTTATGCCGATAAAACATGCTGGGCCTTCCTATTGGTGGAGGCCGTATTGTTGGAGAAATACGGTACCACCTCTGATTGGAAATTTTACAGTATCCTTCCCCTGCCACACCCATCAAGCTACGCCCACCGAACCGGTAGTAAAAAAACTTGAATCCCACCACTGCCAGGGGGGCATGACCAGGGTGGCTTTGGCCAGTTTAATGTCACTCATTGAGGCTCCATTTTCACAGGCAGAGGGCTCCAGGAGGCCATCGCAGCCCAAAACGGAGCTCGGGCGGGCCGTGCGCAGCCTCTCCCGAGCTCCATTTTCATTTGCGGAGGGTTGCAGGAGGCCATCATGGCCGAAAGTGGAGCCTGGAAGGGCTGCTGGCAGAGGCACCCCGGGCCGGTCCTTTGCTGTTTCCAGCGTGGGTTTGTGGGATCTAAGCACCCCATGGGCCAGATCCAGCCTGAGGGGCCTTGAGTTTGACACCCCTGCTAAATTACGACTGGAAAAATCAGAGCAGTCTTGATAGTCTCTCTTTCTGCTTTCAGCATCGGTGACCTTTGACCCGGATACAGCTAATCCTTACTTGCTCTTATCCGAGGACCTCCTCAGCGTTCAAGTGGTGGATCAAAGGCAAGACCCGCCCAAGAGCTCTTCTCGCTTTGAAACGTGCACTTGTTTAATGGGCCGCGAGCAGTTCACTTTTGGAAAACATTATTGGGTGGTGTGTGTGGAAGGCAAGTCCAGCTGGACACTGGGAGTGTGCAAAGAATCAGTGAGCCGCCAAGGTATCTTCACCCCCTCACCGGCAACAGGGTTCTGGACAATATGGCTGAGGAATGGGGATGAGTATGCAGCACTTACCTCTCCACTCACAGAACTAGCGGTCAGAGCAAAGCCAAAGCTGGTTGGTATCTTCCTGGACTACGACGCAGGAGAGGTTTCTTTCTATAATAGCAATACCGGTTCCCACATCTTTACCTTCTTGGATTCCTTCTCTGAGACCCTTCGGCCTTACTTCTATCCTGGAATCCGGGCTGGGGGTCTCAACGATGCTCCCCTCATTATCCAGCCCGCCAAAGACCAGTCAGGACTTCCTCTTCTGGCCATTGAGACCTTTTCACATCTCTAGGGCTGGTTCCAGATGAAGCATTTTAATCTGGAATGGGACAACCAGGTGATGCTATTCCGTACTTATGTCTGTGGAGATTCCCAGCCATCCAGGCCATGGTTGTCCCAAAAGGTGCTTTTTCAAGAGGCAACTGGACTTTCTGGTTTTTCTTTGAAGGCGTTTCGCTTCTCAGACAAGAAGCTTCTTCAGCTCTGATTCAGAGCTTCTTGGATAAGAAATGGAATGTCTTCAAAGAAAAACCAAAAAGTCCAGTTGCCTCTTGAAAAAGCATCTTTGGGACCTTTCCTTACTTATGCTATTCTTGTCTGGGTCTCTTTAACACATTTTCACCCTCTGAGACAGAGGTCACTCCTGCATCAGAAAAAATGTTTCCAAATGGACCTTTGGATATGGAATAGACATGGCTTATTCCTGTAATTTCATGCAATGTTGCCTTTCTACAGTTATTCTGTCATAAAGCCCTTTATCTCTAAATCAGTCCCCTCCTCTTTTTTTTTATCCAAAAGGGAGTCTGAAAAACAATTCTTGGTGATTGAGGAGGTAATAGAGTAAGTACTGACTACCAAGGATGTATGTTAGCGTTAGTCTTTATTATTATTGTTGATGTTGGATTTTTATGGATATTTATTTTAGTTAATATTATTTCCACATCTTTTGTAAATTGCTTGGATACTTCTGTTGGAAGTGACACAAAAGTACCAGAAATAAATAAATAAATAAATAATAAAGGCAACAATATCCAAAATCATTGAATTTAATTTACCAGAGGAATAAATATGCAGAAGTTCAAAACAGCAAGAAACCAAATTGACATAAAAGGGTTTTCTGAGGGGACAAGTGTTTATAACATCTGAGGGAAGTCTGATTTAAACTCAGATGCTTAATTTCTTTGGGAATCTTTTCTTCAGATCCTGTGGTTTGTATGTGTGGTTTTTAAAAATATCTCACTGTTTCTTTTGTCTTTCTCTGACTTTCTTCTGTCCTTTCCCTTCCACACCTCTCCCTTTCCTTAATTCTTTATTCAAATTACTTTTGTTTCTTCTTCTCTTTCTCCTCCAATTTGGTTATCTCTCTATATCTGTCTCTCTCTCCCTCTCTCTCTCTGTGCCTCTCTCTCCCTCTCCCTCTCCCCCCCACCCTCTGTCTCTCTCTTCTGTCTCTCTCTCTCTTGGATGGGAGGTGTATTATGTAGCTGCTTTATAATAGCATTGATGGAGAACAATCCTAGATCCCAAATGCTAGGCTTTAGGAAAACTTCCTTTGTCACTAAAAGTAAGTGTACTTATACTCTAGGGCAGAGGTCACCGACCTTTTGGACCTCAGGGACCACCAAACTCATAATTTTAAATCCCGGGGACCACTAATATGAATTTTGACTGATGGTGGCTTGCTGACGTTGGTGAGAGAGAGAGATCTGTTCTAATCTCTCTCTCTCTCTCTCTCTCTCTCACACACACACACACACACACACACACACACCCTCCAAGGCAGCCACATTCCTAACCTGCTTAGAAGAAGAAAGAAGTGGAAAAAAACAGCTCGGTAGCCAGGCAAGTTCCCCCCCTCCACCCTTTCCCCCCTCCCCTCACTACCTCTTCTTGTTCTGACGCAAGCTTTGTGTTCCCGTGGGCCGGCCATGTGGGCGACACAGCCTTGTGTTCCTGCGCAGCCTGGGTTAATTGCTTTGGGGAGTGCTCTGGGGGTGATATTTCTCTGCGGACCACCGAAATTTTCTCGCGGACCACCAATGGGCCACAGCCTACTGGTTGGCGACCGCTACTCTAGAGCACACCTTTTCACTCCTTTGTGTGTTGATGGTACCAGCATGAAGATTAGGTGGCTTCTATTTAGTTTGCTCATTATCTATTGACTGTCTTGTTTATTAATATACTTAATGTTTTAGCATTATTGCTTTTTTCATGTTTGTCGTTTACTGAGAATGTCTTTAAAATTTAGCTGCAGGATACTCTTTCACCGCTAGAGGTCTCCCTATCCTTCTGCCAATTGTCAGGCAGAAGTCAAAAGTCTCTTCCCACCCCCCCACCCCCTAAGTTATTACAGTTCTAGTTGATTGTATACAAGCTGGCCTTGATGCGGAAGTATCCACAGGATCCGATGCTTTTGTTCAAATGCCGAAAGCAATGTAATGCTGTCATAATGCAAGCTCTGCGTTTTGTACAGGTGGGCAACGTCATTACTCTTGTACAAATAGTTGACTACCTACTGCTCTTACCTTCTTGCTTTCAGCGTGGACCTGTTTTCAGAGAGAAGAGCCAAGCTTATGATTTTTGAGCCTGATTATGCATCTCGGCAGAAACTTCGTATATATCTTCATTAGATGCAAAGCTCTAGTCAGCAAGTGGCTCAGAGCAGCTTCCATATCCCTTTGCAATAATCAGGTTAAAGAAACAACCATAAGAACAATAACATTCAGAATAACAATTACTCCAAGAGAATCCAGAACGTAGTGCTGGGAAATCCCTTAACCAGTAAACCTTCCCATAAGGCAGGGGTGTCAAACTCAAGGCCTGACGACCGGATTTGGCTCGCAAGGTGCTTAGATCCTATGGGGCCGCCCTTGAAATCATGAAGGATCTCCCAGGATCCATTTTCACTGGCAGAGGGCTGCAGAAGGATCTCCCCCAGTCCCACCAGGGCCACCACAGACGCCCCTAACATGAATGGTGTCGAGCTGGCCATGCCCACCCTGGCCGTGCACACTCAGTTCCCCGAGTTCAAACACAACCCTGATGTGGCCCTCAATGCGATTGAGTTTGACACCTCTGCCATAAGATTTTTTTTTTTTTTTAGATCCCAGACGTTTGTCTTAATTGCCATACAGAACACTAAAAAGTGTAAGGGACAGTCTGACCTCCCTTAGGGGAACTATTCCATAAAAGTGGGGTTTGGGAAGGGAAAAGCGACACAGGAAGCTTGTCCCCCAAAGTAGTCATCTTCCCTAACAGTAGGTTCCTAAGGGAACCCACCCAACCTGCTGCACAAGGAAAAGCCACTGGAAAAAGGTGGTTCCCAAAGGTCCTCAGGTCCTGAGACAAGAAGGGGTTTCAAGTAACATCCAGCACCGTGAGTGGCACCCAGAATTCAAATGGTAACCAAATCAGTGCAGTGCTAAGAGCAGACCAATTAATACCCATATCTACCCAAGTTATTACATTCTGGACCATCTGCAGCCCATAGAAGGGATACAGTTTAGTATCAAATAATCTCTTTGTCCTTTCCCAAGTGGTCCATTCAAAGTATCTGTGTGATTCTTGTGAGTTTAAGGGCCTGATGCTTTAATCAGGGGTCTTCAAACTTGACAGCTTTAAGACTTGTGGACTTCAACTCCCAGAATTCCTCCTCCAGTCATGTTAGCTCAGGAATTCTGGGAGTTGAAGTCCACAAGTCTTAAACTTGCCAAGTTTGAAGACCCTTGCTTTAGGTAAAGCTGACCAGGAAAAAAAAAATGTTACAAGGATTGTGTAAGTATGAAATGCCCAATCTGCTTTCCTATCCTGGAGTTTTAAAATAAAAGGTCCCACACTCATCTAGGACCAAAAAAGAGAAGCATTAGGACCTAGACACATGATTGATTGATTGAATGAATGAATGATCCATCCCTAGAGCTACCCCAGCAGCAAACACAAAAGTAACATGAGAAGGAAATCTGCCACAGAAAGTGAACCTTTCGGTTGTATCAAATAAAGTGGTGAAACCTAGCTCCTACCTTATGGGAGTGAACCATTATCAGGTTGAAATCAATAGCCCAAACATTAATTGTGAAGATTACATGTTGAATCTTTCGTAATTTGCTCCAGTGATAATGTAAATAATGTTTTTGCCTAGCTTTCCTACCAAGACATTGTGAGGATACCATAAATAGTCAGGAAAAAAACAAAACAAAATCCCAGACCATAGAACAAATTAATCCAGATTTTTTTTTTTTTACTCAAGGCACAGGCTCAGACTATTGTATGTTTAACAGACTATTGTATGGAAAGACGCAGCTCCCACAATGCTGGTAAGAATGGAAAGAGAACAACTTTCAATTGTTGGTTTTATTGTATGCTGCCAGAGTCACTTTGTGTGAGACAGGTGGCTATATTCATTTGGGAAAGGAAAGAAGGAGAGGAGAGGAGAGGGGAGGGGAGGGGAGGGGAGCGGGTCAGTAGTAAAGCAGACTTGATTTCAGCAGTAATGAATGATTCACTGAGATCTAAAAAAACCAAGTTGACAACTGAGACAATCTATCTGACGGGTGTCTTAACAGTCAACATCATCCAAGGCATTTAATCAATTATTTAATAAAAGAGGGTCACAAATGCCCTTCTGGGAAAACTGAAGAACTTGGGAGGCAACACAAAGCAGAAGATAGTGATGTGATTTTTTAAAGCTGGCAAAGGTTCCCACCACATTGTAGAATAAAAGAATACCTTTTTCTTCCAGATCAAGCTTAGAATCTATGCAAAAATATATTACTCCCCCCCAAAAGGGTGTGTGTGTGAATTGATAGAGAAATGTTAATTGTAAAAGGGGAGCCAAAGGATGAATGGCTACAGAAATAGTGCAGGCTACATGTGAACTCATTTTGTTGTTGTTGTTCCAATCCTTTCACTATCTTCTTTAAACATCAGCAGTTGTTAATTTCATTATGCCATCTGTATGCATGGCACTTTACTTATGTAAAGTGGCACACAC